TTGTTAACTTGAAAATGAAAAATGTCTGAAGATTCTCAGTCATCCAGGTCATGATTGTCCCAAAGATGCTTTTTCAGGAGGCAATTTCTTGGTTTTTTTTGTTCAAGATGTTTTGCTTCTTATCCAAGAAACTTCTTCAGCTCTGACTGGATGGTGGGGAATGGAAGGGTTTATATTCCTTGCAGACAGCTGATCATTTACATTCTTTTAGAGAATCGTTGAGGCCATTTGGAGGTTTACCTGTGTCCTCAGGGTCACCTGAGCAGTGCAAATGTGTGTGGCGCCTTCTTGGCTGCAGGATGTTTTTTGCCCAGTTGTTGAAGACAGATGCAGGCTGTTGGGGGTGAATCTATGTGGTCTTTAGGATGACCACTCTTCGAATGGTGCGGGAGTATGAACAGATCTCCAGAAAACATTGCAGACTACAGGAACTATTTGCTTCAGTTTGAGATGCAGACAACACAGATTCATCCCCAACAGCCTGTGCCTGTTTTCAACAGTGAAGAGACACAGGGAAGAAAATATCCTGCAGCCAAGAAGGCTCTAAATACTCTTCAAGATAGCCCCACGTAGAACACAAAATGTATAACAAAAAAAGTCAAAATCTGTTTTAGCTCCAGAATGCAACTCAGGAAATTATCCAGAAGCTGATGGACTTAGATATGTTCAAGTGGAGAAGACTGTAGATACCCTTTTGCTTAAAATGGATAGGTGCACTAAGCATTGCTAAATTCAATGTTTTAAATAACCCATTCCAAGTCTATTATTTTTATCTTGCCCCATCAGGCCTGGGAAAAGAAACTGGCCCAATCAAATTCTGAATTGCAACTTGAAGCTAGGACAAAAAGGACCTGAAACCCAATAGCCTCAGGAAAGGATTGCATCCCAGTCATTTCAGCTGATAGACTGGGGTAAAATATTTGAATAAAATAGAGCTGAAAAGGACCTTGGAGGTCTTCTAGTCCAGTCCTCTGCTCAAGCAGGAGAACTTATACCATTTCAGACAAATGACTGTCTAGTCTCTTCTTAAAAACCTCCAGTGATGGAGCGCCCACACTTTTTGAAGGCAAGCTGTTCCAATAGTTAATTGTCCTCACTGTCAGGAAGTTTCTCCTTAATTCCAGGTTGCTTCTCTCTTTGATCAGTTTCCAACCATTGTTTCTTGTCCTGCCCTCTGGTGCTTTGGATAATAGTTTGACCCCCTCTTATTTGTGGCAGCCCCTCAAATATTGGAATAGTGCTATCATGTCATCCCTATTTCTTCTTTTCTTTAGACTAGCCAAACCCAAATCCTGCAGCCGTTCTTCATATGTTTTAGTCTCCAGATCTTTGATCATCTTAGTTGCTCTTCTCTGAATTTTTTCCAAAGGGAATAGGGAAAAGGGAAGGGACCTTGGAGGTCTTCTAGTCTAGTCCCCTGCTCAAGCAGGAGAATCTATACCATCTCAGATAGGTGATTGTCCAGTTTCTTCTTAAAAATTTCCAGTGATGGAGCGTGATTCTGTGGGTAAGCTGTTCCACTGGTTCATAGCCAAACCCAAGTTCTGCAGCCATTCTTCATATGTTCTGGTCTCCAGGCATTTGATCATCTTAGTTGCTCTTCTCTGAATTGTTTTCAAACTCTCAGCATCTTTTTTGTGATATGGTGACCAAAATTAGCTGCAGTGTTCGAGGTCTTATTAGGGCTTTATAAAGCGGTACTAATACTTCAAGTGATCTTGATTCTATGCCTTTCTTTATACAACTAGGATTGTATTAGCTTTTTGATTGCTGCTGCACACTGCTTGCTCATAGTTAAATGATTGTCCATTACAATTTCAAGGTCCCTCTCACAGTTACTGTTTTTAAGTCAGGTCTCGCTCAATCTGTATTTATTCCCTTGGTTTTTCCCTGAAGTGTAAGACTTTGTTTTTCTCCACATTGAAACTCATTTTGTTGGATAGGGCCCATTGTTCAAGTTTGTCAAGATCTTTTTGGATCCTGAGTTTGTCTTCTGGGATGTTGGCTACTCCTGACAGTTTGGTGTCATCTGTGAATTTGATGAGTTCCCCTTCAATTCCCTTGTCTAAGTAATTTATGAAGATTTTGAAGAGTACTGGGCCTAAGATGAAACCTTGTGGTACCCCACTGCTTACTTATCTCCATGTGGATGTAGTGCCATTGAGAACTACTAGTTGAGAATGGTTTATCAGCCAGCCACAGATCCATCTGGTAGTGATGTTGTCTATTCCACCTTTTTCTAGCTTACCAAGGAGTAGGTTGTAGTCTACTAATTGGTTGCAGTATTCCAGGTGTGGTCTTACTAGGGTTTTATAAAGCGGTACTAATATTTCACGTGATTTGATTCTATACCTCTGTTTACACAACCCAGGAATGTATTAGCTTTTTTAGCTGCTGCTGCTGCACGCTGCTGGCTCATATTCAAATGATCATCTATTAGGACTCCAAGGTCCCTCTCACAGTTACTGTTTTTGAGCCAGGTCTCACCTAATTTGTACTTATACCTTTGATTTTTCCTATGTTTTTTTCTAGGATGAAATATAGTTTCCTTAGAGCCAGCTCAACCCTAGGACTACAAGGTCAGTCCCATAGAGAATGGTGAATCAGAATACAGAATAATAGTTGAAAGGGACATTGAAGGTCTTCTAATCCAGCCACCTGCTCAAGCAGGAGAACCTATACCATTCAGACAAATGGTTGTCAAATTTCTTCATAAAAACCTCCAGTGATGGAGCAACTACAATTTCTGGAGGCAGGCCTTTCCACCGGTTAATTGTTCCAACTGTCAGGAAATTTCTCCTTACTTCTAGGTTTGATCATTCCTTGATAAATTTCTATCCATTACTTTTTGTCCTGTCCTCAGGTGCTTTGAAAAATAAGTTGACCTCCTTTTCTCTATGATAGCCCCTCAAATATTGGAAGACTGCTATCATGTCACCCCTAATCCTTTGTTAGACTAAACATATCTAATTCCTATAACTGTTCATCATATGTTTTAGCTTCCAGCCCCCTAAACATCTTTGTTGTTCTTTTTTGCATTCTTCCTGTAGTCTCAACATCTTGGTGACCAATACTGGACACAGTATTCCAAGTGCAGTCTTACTAAAGCAGCATAAAGGGGTAATAACTTTACATGTGATAGTACATTTGATATTAATCCCCTGTTGTGCAGCCTAGGACTGTGTTGGCTTTTTTGGCAGCTGCTAGCTGTTATTGATTTCCATTAGACTTCTAGATCTTTCTCACAATTACTCCTGTTGAGCCACCATCCACCTATTATATACCTACATTTCTTGCCTAAATGTAGAATGTTGCTTTTCTCATCACTGAATTGCATTTTATTGGATAGGGCCCAGCGTCCAACTCCATCAAGATCCTTCTGCATCTTGATCCTATCTTCTAAAGTATTGGTTATTCCTCGCCCTCCTGCTTGAAGGTGATTGGTTTACCTTCCATTCCTTCATCTAAATTGTTTATGAAGATGTAGAAGACTACCCCACTGCATGCTTCTCTCCCTGTAGGTGTAGTTCCATTGAGAACTGCAGGTTGAGTATGACTGGCCAATCAGTTATGAATCCATCTGGTGCTGGTGCTGTCCACCCCACGTTTCTATTTTACCAAGAAGTAGGTTGTGATTGTCCTCTAATGCCTTACGGAGGTCCAAGTATACTATGTCCACTGCATTTCACAGGGCCACTAATTTAATTACTTCGCAAAGCATTTTGTCTGGCATGATAAAGTCACCAAGAGTCAGACACAACTGAATGGGTAAAACAAACAAAAATGCTTCTAGGTGTTCACAGATCTGTTGCTTATCTTTTCCAGGATCTTCCCAGGTATTGATGTCAGACTGATTGGGCTGGATCCATTTTTTCCCCTTTTTTGAAGATACAAACATATCAGCTCTTTATATATAGTTTATTTGGCTGTGAGAAATACGGAAACGTTTGCCACTGCCTTCCTATGGGTTTCCCCCTTAGTTTTTCCAGTCAAGCTTTTATTGTTGGGGATGCCTGGTGATCTTTCCAAAAACTAACCAATCAATCCCTGATGAGCATTTTGAAATCAGCCAAGGCCAGATTAGATGCTAGCCCAGCCATATCTTTGGAATCTTTTTTCAAAAGGTATCGCTTTCCTGATTTCTCTAATACAGTGGTTCTCAACCTTTTTAATGCCGCGACCCCCAACCAGTCATAAATCGAGGACTACCCAACCAGCCGTAAGTCAAGAACTACCCAACCGGTTGTAAGTCGAGGACTTTCCCTGACCGGGAGTGCCCCGCATGCATGGTGCCGCCCCCTGCACCGGCCAAGGCGTAGCTGGCAAGCGGCAGAGACAGAGCAGGCCAACCACCGGCTGGGCTACCAGCTGACCCAGCCCAAGGGAGGTAAGGCACCCGCCGGGCCCCACGTGCGCCAGCAACCCTCCCTGTGCCCGCCGGCCTCCCACCCCGGCCCTCTTTTACTTACATTTTTAGTAGTTGCTCAGCAAAGAAGGGTGGAAACTTCCAGACAGCTCGCCTTCGCTGCAAACAACTTACAGCACCTTTTGCAGAATGGGACTTTTGGCGGGCTCAGCAGGGCAGAGACAGCCTGGACAATTCCTATTGGCTTTTGAAAGCCAATAGAATTAGACTCTATTCAAGAGAGTCTATTCTATTGGCTTTCAAAAGCCAATAGAATAAAAGGGAGTAGCATAGCTAAGGAAAAAGAGAAAAAAATGGCAGACTGTGTTGTTTGGTGACCCCCATGAAATGGTCGTTAGACCCCCCCAAATGGGGTCACGACCCACAGGTTGAGAACCGCTACTAATAGTTGCAGATTAACTGCACATTCCCACCGCTGTCCAGACAAAATAACTTCCTAAGCATCCTAACATCACGATCACCCTCCCTCCCTTTCCTTCCCTCTCCCTCCCACTCCCAACTCTTCAACTCCTAACCCGGAGTTAAAGGAATTGGCTCAGGGATTGTTCTCCGCCCTTTTCGCCCTTACTCTCTCAAGGGGTGGGTCTTGATAGCGTCGCCCATGACAACTTCTGAAGAATTGCTTCCTCGCCTGGATCGTTATCCCTTCGGGTCAGTCCAAGAGGGATAAAAGCCAGGCGGCTGGATGGAGCAGTTCAGAGTGCGCTACAGCCCGCTGTGCCAGCATGCGCTGCCTAGTTTTCCGCACGACCGTCCTACTTGTTCTCTTCCTGCTGCTCGCCGGGAGCGCCTTGCAGACCCAGGGTAAGCTGATTTCTGACCCCAGGCAGGGAGCTCAGGGAAATAGGCGAACGGGCGGCTTGTCTTCCATCGTGGGCTGTCGGACAGCTCAGCACATCTTCCCTATGCGCTGGTAGTAATGCTGCCCTTCGGCCAAGCGGGGTTTCTGAGGGGTAAGAAATCGTACAACTGTTATTTTGGAATTTTTTCCCACCGTCGCGGGAGGTTGCTGGACAGCGTGGGGGTGACGCGATCACAGCCTCCTCACATTTCGCAGGGCCACTAATTTATTTACTTTGTCGAGCTTCCTGCCGATTTTCCTGCAACTCTACTTACTTGCTTAGAGGTACGACGTCGCCTCGTAGTCTTATCGCAGAGAACTTTGAAGAATGCAGAATACAGTTTCCCGGCCGCGCACGCACAGAAACAAACTCTTGTACGGGCACCCGACCTCTAGGGAACGTTTTGTGCTTCGAAAGTGATTGTGCACTGCAGTCGTCCGACTTCAGGTGTTTTCTTCTTTCCTTTAGTGGAGATGGGAAGACAAAGTGACGGTACCTGGGTAGTGCAATTCGAAGTTATGTGAACATAACATGCTTCTGAGGCAGAATGGTCATCCTCTTGGTTTGCTGTTTAACGATGACACCCAAAAACCAAAATACTTCATGAATCTCTTCTTGAAAATTCATCATTTCTATGAAATACATATGCTTTCTTCTAGTGCTTTTGCAGAACCAGGGATCTTATTGGCATTCACCTACAGAACTTTGTTGTTGTTAGTTACGAAGTCCTGTCTGACCCATAGCGACCCCATGGACAATGTCCCTCCAGGCTGTCCTGTTCTCTACAGAACTTAGGACTTAATAAATATTTAAACACATTGAGAAAGTGCACAGTGGTTTCAAACTATAGGTGCAAAATATAAGCTTGAATGAAAATAGCAAATATATTTATTGACCTAAAAATTGGTATAATTTTTTCCACTGTAAAGATCCCAAGCAATACCATGGATAACAATTATAAAAAGTACTACCAGGTAAAAATAGCCTATTTCGCTGGCTGAGATTGTCCAATAGTGAAATAAGGCAAATTCTAGTTTCTATAATGGCAAAATAACTTACCAAAAAGTTTGACAACTCTTTTATTAGTAAAAAGCTATCATGCTATAATAATTTGAAGGTCTAGTTATACCATCAATACAACAATAGTTTATAATTTAATTCATTAATAAATTATGTTCAAAATTAAATAACCATAATTATTTTTAGATTAGAATTTAAAATTAAAGGTTCTATTTATTTCTCTTTCTACAAAATAATTTAAAGAACATAAAATATTTTAGCACTCTTGCCAAATATTTTTCTTCCATGAATACTGAACTTTTAATTATTCTTCTGTTAATCAAATTAAAATCCACATTCATATTTTAAAATCCAGGTATTTCTATCATTTGTCCACTATTGTTCAGCCTTTTGTGCCTATGGTAAATGACTCTGACGGCACCTTTTATTATTTATTCTCATATTTAACTTTTGTATATTAAGTATATTTTCATATTTTCTTAAAAAAACTTTCTTCACCAAGTAGCTGTGATTTTTTTTGTAGCAGTTTAAAAAAACCACCCCTGCTATACTAGCTAAGTTAAGACAGTTTGTAGTACAATCTACTATAGCCTTAGTCAAAGGCATTGTACAGCCCAAACCCCATGAAAATAGTTAATTCTTCATATCCAAATATTACTATTTTCAGAAAAAATGGAGCCTCTCAGGTATGATTTTAAAAAGCTGCTCTGGTTCTTACTTATAAAACCAGTACAGCACTGTCATACCTTCTGACAAGGGTTAAGGTAGCCAGGTTAGCTGGAAATATTGGAACAGAAAAGGTGCAGAAGATGAGAAAAATGGGGAGACAATTTCCCACATTTTGTTATCAGTTCAGGCATAGTGTTTAGGTTATGCTTAGGTTATTCTCAGGTGTATGTAAGGGTACTGTATCAAAGGGAAAATATAACACAGGTAATAACTGCATAAGTCAGAATTTAAAAATAGTCTGAACATTTGTATTTATAAAATGTGAAATAAGAAAATAGAGTGAACTATATGATAAATAAATATTGTAGTTGGAGTTTGGATTCTGATTGTGTTAACATTGAGAATAACCACAAAACCCTTTCAGTATAAAGTAATATTGTAAAAAAGTTTATTTTCTGTTTTTTTCAATGTTTATTTGTTAAGACCAGGTTTCTATAATGATAATGAAAAAATTAAGAGGAATAGGGAAGACTAAAAAAGGAGATTATATAATGAAGGTATAAATACAAGATGTTAAGATTATATGTATTCAGTTAAAAAATGAAATATCTACCATATGGTTGAAAACCTTGGTTCTAAGACCAAGTGCTTACAATAATTTAAAATCTTTTGCTCGTTTGTGTGGAATTCATTTATGAGTTTAGATTTGGAGTTGTTTATTTTTCAGTCAAAGCATTTATTCTTGGGAGAACATTTGGAGTAAATATTCAATATAGGTCCCCTGACTATACTTGCTGTAAAGTATAGTCAGGGAACAGATGTCACTAATATCTGCATAAACATGAGTAGGATTGCATTGTCAGTCTCTGGTTGTTTCTCCACCACAGCAAGAGAATTGCGCTGTAAGTGTCTGAAGGTCTTTTCCTATGGAATTTTACCTGGGCCCATTGCTTCTGTGGATTTCATACCTGAAGGACCGCACTGTGTCAGGCCTGAAGTCATGTAAGTATCCAGAGCTAGCCTGCTGCATTTTTGTTACTATATGCCAGGCAAGAGCTGTTCAATCTCACTCAGAAATTAATGTTATTCTTCCCACTGTCATAGACTCACCAGGAAAGATGGGAAGCAATTCTGCATGAATACAACAATGCCATGGGTTCAGAGGATTATCCAAAGATTTACAAAGGTATTTATAAAGATTGTTTAGTAGACTTGTAGGCAGAAACCGCATTCTAGTAAACCTTGGCTGTAATCCAGCAACATTAATTGTTTACTGAAGGTAATGAGATTTTTAAGCAACCTGAATAAAGGATTGCTTTTTCTTAATAGAAATCTGAATTCTTATTTTGTTCAAATTCTGTTGCAATATATTTTATACATATGTGTGAGTATGCACACCCACCCACAAATACAAAACTAGATGATTTTAATAATGCCGTCAACAATTGAAATATAAATGCAGTGTATTCAGCAAGAAAATGCATTTTATATCTAACAAAAGAGATCCTATAAATACAAGATATGTTGGTGCTCCTAAAAACCTCATTGCAAAAAGGAATTAGGGTAAGGTGGTCTGCTGCAGATGGAAATAGTAAATCTATTGCTGAGATTACTAGGTACATGGTCAAGAAAGTATGTGGCTGAGATAGCTTTGCCTTTTTCTGCTTCTCATGTTTTCATTTATTTCTGGTCTTTTGCAGAGAAATAGTAACCTGTGATGTAAACACTATTATTTGGATATGTAGCTGCAACAATAAACACTGCAATTATGAGGAGAAAGAGAGAAGAAAGAGAGAAAAAATTGGCAAAGACAACCCAAAGACTTAATTATTTCTTTAGCAATTCCCACTTTCTTGTATTTTATTTTTTTATTCAAACATATGTTAATGTATTTATTACTACCTCTCTATATCAGCATTTCTCAACCTTGGCCATGTTAAGATGTGTGGATTTCAACTCTCAGAATTTCCATACATTTAAATTCCAATGCCATGCTCTAACAATCATCTAATTCTTCAAATCAGACAGATATACTCAATGCAAACTATATGAGATACAGGTAGACCTCAATTTATGGTTATTTGTTTACTGATTGTTCAAAATTAAAACACTGAAAAAAGTAACTTACAACTGATCCTCACACCTATGACCATTGCACCATTCCCTATGGCCATGTGATCTGAATGTAAGCACTTGGCAAGTGGCATTTATTTACGATAGCTGCAGCATCCTGGGGTCATGCAATCACCATTTGCGATCTTTCCAGCTAATTTCCCAGGAGCAAAGATGATAAGAAAAGCTGTATTCACTTAATGACCACATGATTCACTAAACAAATATAGTGATTTGTTCAGTCACAGCAAAAAAGATTATAATTTTGGGCACTTACTCACTTAACAATTGCCTTGCTTAGCAACAGAAATTCTGGTCCCCACTTATGGTCTTAAGTTGAGGACTACCTCTACATTGAAGTTAATGGACGCTGATTGCCTTCTTGAATGTAATAATAGGTTGTGAGCCATAGTGGAATTTATAAACAAGTGCACATACCAAAAAGCGTAAGCAGGAAGTTATCTGTACCCTATGCTTTCCCTGTCAGCCTTTGTGGGCTTGTTCATTTCAAAGAAGCTTACTGAAGAACTAAAAGTTAAATACAACAGTCATGTAAAAGCATTCTACATTTTGACTAATACTTATTTCTATCATAACTGGGTATGTTTTTTGAGAATTCTATGACTATATCTTTGATGAATGTTTTGGAAAGTGTTTCAATATGACAAAATATGTGGAACTGTTAAGTAATGTTTTAAAACCACTTAGTAGTTTTTTAGAACCACTGCTCATCTCGTATTGCCAAATTATTTTGAGGCTTGGTGGATTTGTTGTTTCTGGAATACAAAAAATATAGCCACAATGAAGGCACGTATTAAAATTAAATATTTAAAAGTATGTAATTTGAGGCTGATTTATATTTATCTCTTTGATGCATGAAATTTATTTCTAGTAATTTATCAATGCTCAATAGTCCAGTTTAGAAATATTAATCAATTATCTACATGTTATTCTTTTTTATGTTGCCTCTTGGACCAAATGAATCATCAAGATAATATGTGACACATTATTATTATTATATATAATACAAATTTAATGGAATTGTAACAAGCTGCAGTTAACGTAAAATAATTGAATATCATTGTTTATTTATATCTATTACTGTTTCCCTATTATTGTAAGGGCAGCTATTGTATATTGAGCCTTCTCCCAGAAGATTCTACTAGAAAAGATCACTGAAAGAGATATTTCATTCTCACCTTCAGAAAGAGAAAAAAGGGCCCACTAAATTATAAACATCTATACTAGGCAAACAGATTATCAAGCAATACGTTTGTGAGCACTTAAACAAGCATGCTTTAATTAACAGGAGTCAACATGTCTTCATGAAGAAATCATGCCAGTCTAATCTTATCAATTTTATAAACTGATTAGCTTAGTACAGGGGTGTCAAACTGCCAACCCATGGGCTGGATGCATCATAGTGAGACCGCGCCCACCTCATTGCCGGCAATGGCAAAAAAGTCACGATACATCACGACACGTCATGTGATGTTGCAAATTTGACACCCCTGGCTTAGTAGATCAAGGATATGCTGTACACTCAGTGAAGTCTTTGACAGAGTGTCTCATGGTGTTCTCCTTCATAAAATGGTAAAATATTGGTCAGAAGTTACTCCTATTAGATTCAGTTAGTTGAATGACTGCATCCAAAGAGTCCTCATCAATCACTCAACTTGTTTGTTTGCAGATAACACCAAATTTGGAGGAGTTCAAAAACATTTAAGCAATTTAAACACTATATTAGACTGAAAAGAATGATATAATGTAAAATAATGTAATGTAGAATAATGTAAAGTTCCTAAATGGGTAGGAAATATGTAAACACATGTATATATTTGGGGAGACTTAGCTTGGCAGTAATAGATCTAAAAGGGGTACCATAAGTTAAACTTAAATCAACAATGCAATGAGGATGTAAAAAGGGCAAGTACTATCTTATGGTGCATTGACAGAAACATTGAATCAATGGTAAATAATTGTTTCATTCCAATTGTTTTACTATACAATGTTCTGCCCCATCTGTATGGCATGATAGTTCCAACAAACTGGAACAAATTCAAAGAAAGACAGAATGGCTTCCAGGCTCTTCATGATAATGAAGAATCCACAGGTCATATCTCATGAGAGTGCCTGGGTATGTTTTGCTGAAGGGTTCTCATAAAGAAGAGGGTTGGGGACTTGTTTTCTATTGTCCTAGAAGGTGAGATCAGAATCAACGAATTAAAATTATTCATGTGGGGGGATCAGGCTAAATAACCAGAATAGCTTTCTGACTACTGCATGAACTTGTGAGTTGTGACCTTCCTGAGAGGTTTTCAGAAGAGAAACTGTGTGATTATCTGCAGGAGATTCTCTAGTGGATTCTGCTCTGCACAAGAGATTGGGCCAGATGAGATTTAATGTCCAATTCTATGATTCAAAATGTGACTTGGATCATGCTACCATGATCTAAATTTATTTATTTATTTAGATAAATAAATAATTCAATAATCATATACATCAAGCTGGAAGGAAATATAGCATCAAGATTACATTTTAGAAATGACTTATTCGAATTGGAGTGTGTCCAAAAAAGAGTAATCAAGAGGATAAGGAACTGGGAAGAAAAAATGTATGAAGAACAGCTGGAGTCAATGTATGAAGAATAGCTGCATTTACTGTGATAAGAGGAGACATCCAGGAGACATGATAAATGTCTTCAAATATCTGAAGGACTAACATGAGGAAGGTGGGGCAGAATTTCAGAGTTGTTGCAGAAGACAGGCATTTCCTAATAGTAATAGTGGAATAGTCTGCTTCATTAGACATGTTTGAGCAGATTGAGAGGCTAGATGGCATCTGTTAGGGATGCTGTAGCAGTGGATTTCTGTGCTGGGCAGGAGGCTGGACCTGATGATCTCCAGTATCTATTCCAATTTTAAATTCTGTTTCTATTATTCCTTTAACATCTCATAGCACATCCTTCCTTATACATGAAGAAAGAACATTCAGTTGTGGAAGCAAAAATGTCACCCACAATTGGAAGTGGTTAATTTGCAGATAAGTTTATTGTTTCAAATGAGAACACAGAATAACAGAGTTGGAAGGGACCTTGGAGGACTTCTAGTCCAGAGGCCACCAACCTTTCTTGGTTCGCGGACCGAGCATGTGTGTGATGCAAATGGGGCAAGGCTAGTGCTTGTGTGATACTCGTTAGCCCTGCCCCATTCTTGTGCTTAGTGTCCCATTTTTGTGCCCTGAGGTGCAGCGTTGGCCCATTTTTGCACACTGAGGTGCGGTGGCATCCCATTTTTGCGCCCCAAGGCATTGCAGTAGTCCATTTTTGTGCAGCATGATGGTACAGCGTTCTGTTTTCACACTCCATAGTAGTGGCACTAGTGTGAGTGAGGGTATGTGCATGCACACGTATGTGCACTGGCCAGCCTGTCCTGCGGCCCAGTGGCCAGCAGCCCACGGTCCTCTACCGGGCCACAACCCACAGGTTGGGGACTCCTGTTCTAGTCCAACTGTCTGCTCAAGCAGGAGAAAAATAGCTGTCCAATCTTAAAAACTTCCAGTGATGGATTTAACAACAACAACAACAACAACAACAACAACAACAACAACAACAACAACATAATAATAATAATAATAATAATAATAATAATAATAATAATAATAATAATAACTGACTACAAGCAGCGGCATGATAAAGTAGCAACAATGGTGCATTGGGAGATCTGCAAAAAATATCATTTGCCTATAAGCAAGAACTGGTGGGATCATAAAATAGAGAAAGTCATGGAAAATGATAAAATTAAACTGCTCTGGGACTTCAGAATTCAAACAGACAAGCACCTGCAACATAACACCCCAGACTTAACAATTGTCGATAAGAAAGACAAAAAAGTCTGGATAGTGGACGTGGCAGTGCCTGGAGACAGCAGAATAGACGAGAAAGAACTGGAGAAGATAACAAAATACAAAGACCTACAAATAGAAATAGAAAGACTGTGGCAAAAGCAAGCAAGGGTAGTACCAATAGTCATAGGCTCCTTGGGTGCAATCCCAAAACAACTGGAGCACCACTTGAACACCATTGGCATTGACAAATTCGCTATTAGTCAATTGCAAAAGGCAGCCTTACTAGGAACTGCTTCCATCCTTCGACGATATCTGTAATACCATCAAACATCCACATCTGCCTATCCCAGGTCCTGGGTAAGGACTCTATAGGTAGACAAAATGCCAAATCCAATCTGAACATCTGGCTGACTGGGCGATGATCCATAATAATAATAATAATAGAGTTGGATGGGACCTTGGAGGTCTTCTAGTTCAACCCCTTGCTCAGTCAGGAAACCCTATACCATTTCAGACAAATAGTTGTCCAGTTTCTTAAAAATTTCCAATGTTGGAGTATTCACAACTTCTGGAGACAGGCTGTTCCACTGATTAATTGTTCTAACTGTCAGGAAATTTCTCCTTAGTTCTAGATTGCTTCTCTCCCTGAATAGTTTCTATCCATTGCTTCTTGTCCTGCCTTCAGGTGCTTTGGAGAATAGCTTGACTCCCTCTTCTTTGTGGCAGCCTCCGAGATATTGGAATACTGCTCTCATGTCACCCCTCATCCTTCTCTTCATTAGAGCTTCTTCTTCTTCTTCTTCTTGTGCCATATCCGTTATCGGACGTTGTCAATCATGTTGGCAATCCTGTTTTTATCAGCAGCCACATGAAAAAGTGCTGCTGAGTTTTGTCCAAATCAGTCCCTTAGATTTTGAAGTCATGATGTTCTTCTTCTGCCTGGACCTCGTTTGCCTTCAATCTTTCCCTGGAGGATTAAATGGAGTATGCTGTATTTTTCTGGGTGTCGCATCTTATGTCTGAAATATTCTAACTTTCAGTTTTTAATTGTTTTGATGATTTCCCTTGGCTTTCCCTTGGCTTTTCATTAGACTAGACCAGGGGTAGGCAACCTTGGCTCTTTTATGACTCGTGGACTTCAACTCCCAGAATTCCTGAGCCAGCCATGCTGAGGGGAAAGGGAGAGGTTTCCAAGCTGAGCCATGCCGACTCAGGGATTCTGGGAGTTGAAGTCCACGAATCATAAAAGAGCCAAGATTGCCTACCCCTGGACTAGACATTCCCAATTCCAGCAACCATTCCTTATATGTTTTAGCCTCCAGTCCCCTGGTCACCTTTGTTGCTCTTTTCTGCAGTCTTTCTAGAGTCTCAATGTCTTTTTTTACATTTCATGGTGACCAAAACTCCATTCAATATTCCAAGCATTATACTTTGATAAGTATACTTCACTTGATCTTGAGTCTATCCTTTTGTTAATGTAGCCTAGGACTGCATTGGCTTTTTTGGTGGCTGCAGCACACTGCCGGTTCATATTTAAATGGCTGCCCACTAGGACTCCTACATCCTTTTCATAATTATGCTGTTGAGCCAAGCACCACCTAATCTATACCTGTGCATTTGGTTTTTCTTGCCTAAGTGTAAAATCTGATTTTTCTCACCATTTAATTTCATTTTGTTGTATAGGGCCCAGTGTTCAAGTCTGTCAGGATTCTTCTGGATCTTGAGCCTGCCTTCTGGAGTATAGGCCATTCCTTTGTGTTGTCTGCAAATTTGATCAGTTCTCCTTCTATCCTCTCATCTAAATTGTTTATGAACAGTCTGGACCTGAGACAGAACCCTGAGGTACTCCACTGCATAGTCCCCTCCATATAGATGTAGTTCCATTATGGATTACATGCTGAGTGAGGTTGATCAGCCAGGTATTGGGGCTAGTGGTGATGCTATGTATCCCACATTTTTTCTATCTTACCAAGAAGTAGACTGTGGTTTAC